GATGGCAAAACAGTCTGAAGCAACAAAGCCTGGCTAACAGGAAACATTATATAGACAAGAGAGTCGCATGGCAAGTAACAGCTCAGGGGCTCACAGGAAGAGAAAATGCCTCAAGGAACAAGTGTACCAAGGCTTTGCGTATAAGTGAAATCCTTGTTAATTTAGACTTGGCTTCCTGAGGCTTTGAAGTAGCACAGGAACTTACAGGTAAACTACAAGACTCATTTCAAGAACAGCCAGACTCCTGTTCCTCTACTGCTCTTGTAGAGTCTGGTCTCTGACACTTATGCAAGACAGTAGTGTATGTACATACATTTATTGCTATGGTAATGATGTTCCTAAGGATCAGAGAGCAGTGGAATGCACAAAACCCTGCAGACACCAAATCAGCACCTTACCTCCAGCTCACAGTATAGCACAGGACTGCAGTAGACTTCTCCCAGTTTCCAGATGGAACTAATTTCTACACTGCAGTAATTCACCCTGCCAACTACAGAAGAAGATTTCCCACATTACAAGCAACATAATGCACATTCAGTGAAGTACAGGGAATTCCACATCCACAAAATGATCCAGAGCTAATTTTGAAAGCACTGTAGAAGGTAAGGAAACAGTAAGCAGTACAAGTAGAATGGTACAAAATTCACAATGGAATTAGCATGAAAGTCTTTCATAATATAACGTGGAATAGTATTGCCATGTTACGGAGTACCATAACATTATAATTTTGGATAAGGGATTGGTACACTATCAGAATCTTCCACTCATTAGTAGAAGCCCTCGTGGCTCATGTGCTATCACAGGGTGCTCAAGACTCTGAGGAATTCACTTAGACAGGAGAGTCACAGTACAGTACAATGCTAAGACTCTTTCTCACCCCAGAATTAGGCCTCCTGAGCCCAAAATTCCAAGGACACAGGACCTCTGGTCCAGCACTGAGCAGTACGGTCTGCCCCCTCCAGTTCTTCAGAGCTGAAGTAGGCAGGATACAGGAAAACACTCTCTCCACGCGAGGCAGTGAGGGGGGGGAAGAAAGAGATTAGAGGCACAACAGTGCCAGACAGTACACAGCAGGGATGCCAGTGTCGTATTAAAACTATACTTAATAATTTAGTAGCTCATACATTTATATGCATTTTATTACCACAGTATCATATACTCCTCGCTGCTTATTATCATTAAGACAGATCTGCAAGAGCAGATAGAATAGACTTCTACAGTGCCACAGGAAAAAAATATAAATCAATAACACAAATCATATTCAGGGATTAGGGACAGAGAAGAGGAGTCTGACTGGCAAAAACAAAAAGGAGAGGGTAAATGAGCATGAGAGAAGAGAACCGTGTTTCATCTAAGAAGACAATAAAAAAAACCCACAGGTGAGTTCAGATATAATTTAAACAAAGCTTCTGACAAAGCCGCTGGTTTCCCTTGTCTTGTTTCAAGTTAAGTCACTGCTCTCTTACGGAAAGAAACAGTGAGTTGTGCTGTTCAGAGAAGAGGAAGAGGGCAGATGCCATACGTACCCCCAGTGACAAGAAAGCACACTTTCCCCAGGAAGAAGCCGGCAGCCACATGAGCTAGGGAAGCTTCAACATTCTTCAAGCTGTCAGAGAAACACAATCCAGTTGGACAGGGAGGTAAAAACAGTTCAGGATAAGGACAAACGGAATAACTTTCAGAAGCACATTTTAGAAAGCCAATGATGTTAACATCTGCTGATCTGAGAGCTGGCAGAGTTATGCTTTATGCTAAAAGCATGGCATGAGAGCTCTCTGTAATACCCACAGCTGTTCAATAATCCATAACATATCCTTTTCCACCCAAGACTCAACAGTTAGACTTAGTTTGAATGGTCTCCTCTGTGATTTGCGGACACTAAGCATCCACATTCATTAACATCCAGCAAGACTTCAGCACTACTTTGGCTCTTTCAGAAGAGCTAGCCCACACACTTCCGCAGCACCATTTGTGCTATAAGTATGCAGCTGGGCCTATCATTTTTGGTAAATGAGAGCCCAGGATCATCACTCACAAGTTAAGTAAATAATAAAATGCTGACTTCTGTGCCTTAGCAAGTCTTTACTTATGGCCTGGGGACTGAAACATCATTTCTACAAAGATGAGCACAAGATGAGAGAAAAGGGATCATCCCTGCAGACCTTTCTCTTCTACCTAAAGACATCTGCAGTGCTGATGCAAGTTGACCAGCAGTATCAGTGAACTGGGCACACAGATGCAGCAACTGGCAGGTTATAAGGTAGCGCTGCCCAGTGCACATCAACCCTCTGCATATTACAGAACTTAACAGCATGACCATCATTTCCATGTAATTTTAGGAACAGCATCTTCTCAAAGCTCAGTTCCTATCATCCCATATCCATATTCAGGAATAAATTCTGCCTTTTCTGCTATGGCAACTTAGTGCACAACAGGCATGTTATTAGAGCAGTTCAGAACTAATCCGTTGCTGAAGGCCAGAAAACCACTGCATGTATTACTGAGCTGTTCCACCACAGCAAGTCTTGGCTTTGAAATCCACTACTGAGCAATTCTGACACAGTAAAAATCTAGATTTATTCATCACTCCAAGAAATAGTATCGGTTTCCCCTCTCAGATTTTTGCCCTTGTTTTACCTGTATTTGTTCTTGATGTCAATCATAAACACAATCAGATCTATCCTGGGCCGAAGATGATCCCTCTCTGAAGGTAAGGGGAGGGATGTAGCAAGGTGACTGAAAGAGAATAAATTTGCCACTTTAACCAAATAGCCTGGCAAGACAGTATCCACTTAATCATATCCAGATAACCATCACAGTTCAGCATGTAGCAAATTACCAGGAAGCACACTAAACTCATAGGAACTGAAGAGACACTGTGATTCTTTAAGTGGTATTCCAATATCTTAGGCCTACTCATAGCTGCTGACAGCCACAATAGTACTTGCTAAACAAGCCTGTTTATAATGGGAAGCTTATTAGAGCATAATAAGACTCACAGAAGCATTTGTTCCCCACAGATCCATACGGCAGTCATTTAATTGTTAAGAGTCCTTTCTAACAAAGCAAACCCCAGTGCTCTACTGGTATATTCTGCTGCCAAGTTTCACTTAAAATGCATCAGTGCATTCCTGTCACATTCCAAAGATACTGCTCATGCTCTCACACAGGAGAGGCTACCTTCTCAGATGTCTGTGACACAAGTGTGTTGTATTCGCAAAAACTTAAACCAGCATTTTATCACTAATACAGCTTTATAGATGAAGTTCTAACTCACAAAGAGCTCCTTCCTATTATACCACCACCCCCTTTTTATCCCTTTCACTGTGTCAGGAATTACTAGGTTAGTTGAGGTTTCCTTCTACTCAATGCTACCACTGCTGATACAGCTGTTGGAAGAATTACATGGTGACATGGTGGGGATTTTTTGTGTTGTCTTCCCACTACTATTAAAATAAAAGCTTCAGTAGTGCCTATCTGGGCCTTCCACAGGGAGGAATATTATCAGCATTGTATTTTTGGAAGTTCACCTGAAAGACAGATTGGTCAAAAAATAAATCCCAGAATTTCAGTCTCTCTCACAATACACTTCCTCTCTGGAAGCCAAGAGAGAAACACTGGGTTTGGTCTACTTGGGGAACATTACTTCTAGCAATTAACTCTTAAGGACTTAACAGCTTTCCCCAGCAGCCACAGACCACAGCACACACTCCCTTCTACTAATCACATGCGGTTTGTACTTCTGTCTGCCGGTCTCCACGTAAAGAGATGTTGTTTCCTACAAATAAGGAAGGTGTAATTTAACAAAAACATTCTGAAACAAACAAGAGATATGACCAAAGTATGCTTGAAAGTCACATTGCAACACGAACAAGCTTATCAATTTAAAGTACAATTTAGCGAGAAGCTGTGGTGAAAGGAAAGTATCAGATCTCATTGTCTGGAGGGGGGTGCAGAACTCCCCAAAACCTCCACGATTTGGAATTCTACTATCTACTGTATTCTCCCATATGAAGATAGGCTGAGAAATTTGGAGCTGTTCAGCCTGGAGAAGAGAAGGCTGCGTGGAGACCTCATAGCAGCCTTCCAGTATCTGAAGGGGACCTATAAGGATGCTGGAGAGTGACCCTTCATCAGGGACTGCAGTGATAGGACAAGAGGCAGTGGCTTTAAACTTAAACGGGGGAAGGTCAGGTTAGAAGGAAGGAAGAAGTTCTTTACTGTGAGGGTGGTGAGGCACTGGAATGGGTTGCCCAAAGAAGTGGCAAATGCTCCATCCCTGGCGGTGTTCAAGGCCAGGCTGGACAGAGCCTTGGGTAACATGGTTTAGTGTGAGGTGGCCCTGCCCATGGCAGGGTGGTTGGAACTAGATGATCTTAAGGTCCTTTCCAACCCAAACCATTCTGTGATATTTAAACCAACATCACTAGATGATGCCAGCAGCCTCCAGATACACACTGCAGAAGCCTTTTTTTCTGAGTGGTAAGAGACACAAGAACCTCCACCCTGCAATTCTTCTCTCAACAGCTGTATCTGGTAGGCAGTCTTGCCAGAAAACACCATATTTCTTCGTAATGTGTATAATCCCAAAGAAACGGCAGGAGGGAAGCTGGGGTGGAGGGAGAACCCCCACTGTCACAGACTTCTGCTTCCCTAGTAATACTAGGGTAGGGACTTGCTCTGTAGTATATAAGCATGAATTTCCATGCCTTTGGGTAGTTACCCAGCTGTAGTAACAGTAACCATCTAATTATGGTACTCCACAGCTCAACAGAGGCTGCAGGATTTGAATAGAAAATTAGGTAATTAATTTTCTATTAGTTAGCACAAATATCCAAAATGCCATGGTCAGAGCAATACAATCACTAACTGGCTAGTAGATCATTAGTTCGGGTTTGCCTTTACTGCATAGCCTTGGATTACAGCAGTGAAATAACACAAACGCCTTCTGAAGAGCTGAATAAACTCATTTGGTCTTGGCAAGAGAGCCGTCAAGGACATTTTATCATAAAACATTAGTTAATCAAGCTTTTTAAGAGAGGGCTTGTCATGCAGCTAAAGTTGAAATTCCAAATGCATCTTAATAGCTTGAGGAGGAAAAGCACGTGCATGCATAGAAAATGGAAAATGGCTATGAAGAGCATCAAAAGCAATGGACGTCTTTCAGCAAAACTTGTTTGGTTTGAAAGAGTTGCAAGCATTGCACTTGTCCCATTTTGTCCCAGGCTGTTTAATTTATGCATATGCCTATCTCCCGGGAGGGGAAAAAAATACCTGTGCTCCTCTCATCCTCTTTCAATTTATTAATCAAGCATCTGTGCAACAACCAAAGGGCAATGGTATGTGTGGTATGTGCTCAGTGAACACGATGAATGTGAGCATTATTTCCACTCCCATTTCTAACCATGCCCAGACTGCTTGCCCTTGTCCTTGCCCAGCTTCAGCTGGGACAGAATTAATTTTCTTCCTAGCAGCTGGTACAGTGCTGTGTTCTGGATCCAGTACAAGAATAATTTTGGTAACACACTGATGTTTTAGTTGTTGCCGAGTGATGCTTACTCTGATCAAAGACTTTTCAGTCTCTCATGCTCTGCCAGTGAGGAGGGGCACAAGAAGCCGGGAGGGAGCAGAGACAGGACACCTGACCCAAACCAGCCAAAGGGGTATTCAATACCACAGAAATCAAATCCGTATAGAAACTGGGGGGAGGGGGGAGTTGGCTGGAAGAGGCTGATCACTGCTCAGTGATCAGTCAGTAGGTGGTGAGCAATTGTATTGTGCACCTATTGTTTATTCCTTCCTCTCTCTGTTTATTTCCTATTGTTATAATATTTTACTTCAATGATTAAACCGTTCTTATCTCAGCCCATGGGTTTTTACACTTTTCCCGGTTCTCCTCCCTATCCCACTGGGGAGGAGGGGCAGGGAGCAAGCGGCTGTGTGGTCCTTGGCTGCGGGCTGGACCGCGTTTCCCCCCGCAGTAATACACTCCAGAGTCCACCAGAGCAAGGTCTCTGAAGCAGAAACCCCGTGAATCCTCA